AACATTTCAGGAGTAATTTTATTAAACGCTGCTCGTACTGATTGACGTAATTGTTCCTCGTTGTCAAAACATTCTTTGAATACCTCATTTTTTATGTAGCCCCATAAGAAAAAGTCCAAGGGAGTTAAGTCCGGGGACCTTGGAGGCCAAGGTGTTTCACTGTAAGTCCCAATGTATTTTCCATCAAACCGTTCAGTTAAATATTGGCGAACTTCTCTGGAGTTATGGGCTGGGGCACCATCTTGTTGGAACCAGCAGCCTTGCACAGCGCCTAGCGGTAAATCATCTAAGGCATCTTCTAAATCGTGCCTCAAGATGTCAAGGTACCGCTCGGAAGTTAAGGAATTATTATAGAAAATAGGGCCTATAATCTTGCTACCAAAAATCCCACACCAAATATTAAACCCAAAGCGAACTTGATGTCTGGATAGTCTATTAACACGTGGATTTTGTCGCGACCAATAGTGTGTATTGCGCCTGTTATAAATACCGTTATTGGTCACCATACTTTCATCAGACCAAATCACTTTATATGGAAAATTAAAACTCTCATCACACATCCTGGTATACCACTCACAAAAATGTCTACGTCGTTCGTCGTCACCCGGTTTTAATCCTTGACATATTCTGAATTTGTAAGGCTTAAATTCATTTTTCCTTAAAATAAACTGAGCTGTAGATTTAGCTACCCCATTCTGGTCTTTAATTTCTCTGGTAGAAGTTTGTGGATTTTCGATAACAGATTGTAGAACAATGTATTGGTTTTCTTCATTGGAAGGTTTTTGTCGGGATAATGCAGGCTTCTTAAATGATCCATATTCTTTCAGATTAATTAACAAACGTCGAAAAATACTCTTGTCAGGTTGTCTCCGCTCTGGGTATTTGTTAGAATACATACGCTCGGCTTCCACACAATTTCTTTGGCATCAGATGTAGCAAGACAGCATATCACATTTTTCTTCGTTTGTAAAATTACCTCCCTCCATTGTAGAACAAAATAAATTAGAAAAAGACAACAACAATAAAAATACAAAAACAATAACTAAAGGAATAAACTTATGATCGACTGATAACAAAGACAAATAACATTAATGTGTCATTGAAATTGACTGGATGTCATTTTGTCATGGCCTACTCCATTTAAATGCTGAAATGTATTAAAAATCCATTTTTCTGGATAAAAACATAAGTAACCATATTGTATCGTACATCGTTGAACTCGCAATGAAAAGCACAATACTGTGTGTACTTTTTTTCCGTCCCATAAGAAAAATCAAAGTTGATGGTGGTTCCATGGAATCGAAACGCTGTAATGAAAATTTGTTAACATCAATTTGGAGAGATTAAAAAGTGCCAATGGAAAAGTGTTTTCCGTTTTTTCATATCTTTTCAAATAGCTTTAAAAAATAATAAAAACGAAATCGCAATATTTCGGTTTTTCTCGGATATTTCCGGAACGGCTTGGAATTTTCAAATTTGTAAAACGGGATCTTGTTCGGTATCAAAATGCGCAACTTTTGTCTAATTTAACCGACACTGTATCTCTTATAGTTTCCGAGATCCCCATGCTGTGCATCCTTATCTTGGACACACTGTATATATATATATATATATATATATATATATATATATATATATATATATATATATATATATATATATATATATATATATATATATATATATATATATATATATATATATATATATATATATATATAGGGTTTTTCACTTAAAACTCCGCACGCCAATAAGTCCAAAACGAAAAGAAATATTTAATTTATGTAAAAAGCAGTCAAAGTGTGGGGTCAAGTAGATATTTCCTAAAGTTTAAAAAATTCGACGCCTGCAAAGAGCTGGGCGTCGCGACGCGTCGAAAAATTATTCGATTGCAGAGACTTTGGAAATACGCGCATACAAAAGTACATATTATTTAAAAACTTTTTTGTTATTTACTCAAACTTATTTACTTTACCCGTTTCTAAGTTATACCGATTTAAAGTAAACATTTCTTGATTAATAAAAAATGTGATTAACGCTTATTTTTACCCATGAATGTTAGTTACTATGGCAACCATTGTCATCGCAGTTGTTTTAAGTGCAATTACAAACGTAAGTTGTTATTGCTGTATCAAAAAATTGTTACATTTTGTCACAAGAAATATCCCAATTAGTTCGGTTTAAAAAAAACTAAGATTTATTATGTGAAAATGGTGCAATTTAGCAATGAGGAAAAAGTAGACATGTTACTGGTTTGGAGAATGCAGATGCAATTGTAGAGAAGCAAAAAGAGTTTACGCACGGCGTTATCCGAATAGAAGAGTCCCCGATGCAAAAACCTTTTCAAGTTTATGTAAAAACTTAAGAGAATATGGCAGCTTCATAAAACCTAAAAGAGATAGGAACAGGACGGCCCCAAGATATCCCTATCAGAGATAAAAGAAAATACCGGTGTTACCATAAGTTCTTTGTGGAGAATTCTACATACAAACTCTTCACCCGTACAAAAATAAACTAGTTCATAAACTAGAACCAGGCGATTATGCTAGAAGAATGTATTTCTTAGCGACATTGTCCGATTTGTATAGCCAAGATGCAAATTTTCTCTCGAAAATTTTATGGAGCGACGAAAGTCGATTTCAAAATAATGGAATCGTTAATAGACACAACTGTCGTTTTTGGTCCGAAAACCATCCTCGTTGGATTACAGAAATAGGTAACCAACGAATTTTTAGTAACAATGTTTGGTGCGGCATATTAAATGGATTCCTTATTGGACCTTACTTTTACGAAGGAACTTTAAATGCAGATCGCTATTTAAGATTTCTTCAAACTACACTTCCGGAACTATTAGAAGAAGTGAATCTTGACACCAGAATGAATATGTGGCTACAGCAGGATGGAGCGCCTGCACATAATGCCCAAATAGTAACGAGGTATTTGAACCGAGAATATCCCAATAGATGGTTTGGTAATAATGGACCGGTAAGGTGGCCGGCGAGGTCCCCGGACATTACACATTACACCACCATCTCTCATCTCATCTCATTAACAAAATTAGTGCAGCGTGTGCCGCTATCACAAGAAGGACTCTCCTACAAGTGACCCAAGCTCATCTGTTAAAAGTTTTTGATAGTTGTGTTTGAGCAGATGGACATAATTTTTAACAAAATTTTTGAAATGTCTTATTATGTAGTTAATTGCAATAATAATTTTGGTTATTAACTTGTAGGTATTTTAGTGTTTTTTCATTTATTTATCATGTTATCAGAACTAAATCGATAAAAAATAATAAATAAAATCATACTAAAATAGTTGAAATCTATTGTTTGTAATTGCACTTAAAACAACTGCGATAACAATGGTTGCCATAGTAACTAACATTCATGGCATACTTGTAAAAATAAGCGTTAATCACATTTTTTATTAATCAAGAAATGTTTACTTTAAATCGGTATAACTTAGAAACGGGTAAAGTAAATAAGTTTGAGTAAATAACAAAAAAGTTTTTAAATAATATGTACTTTTGTATGCGTGTATTTCCAAAGTCTCCGCAATCGAACCCCACACTTTGACTACTTTTTACATAAATTAAATATTTCTTTTCGTTTTGGAGTTATTGGCGTGCGGAGTTTTAAGTGAAAAACCCTGTATATATATATATATATATATATATATATATATATATATATATATATATATATATATATATATATATATATATATATATATATATAGATATATATATATATATATATTTTTTTTTTTTTTTCACGTATTGATTCACGGATGGAAAAATGTAATGACACTATATTCCGGGATATCATCCGTTCGCTTGTTGAACTCCGACTGGAATCCTGCAGACGTTTCGCCAAAATCTCACTTGGCATCTTCAATGCTCGCGCTCCGAAAACACTTCGAACAGTGTTCGCCTTGAATTGTGACGTTTGTCAATTCTGACGGTCATGTCAGTGAATGTATTCATGTTGTTTTGCAAAAATGTACCCAAAAACTAACGGTCGTAGAAAAAGTATAGTATGCAACACGTTCGGTAAACTTTTTAAATCACTCGTTTATTAAACACTCGCTCCGCTCGTGTCAAATAAACTCGTGAGTCAAATGCCATTTTTTACCGCACTTGTTGCATAATATACTATTTTTCGCTTCCGTCTGTAAAATACTACTATACTAAATAATACTAAATACACTTTAGCACGTCAGTTTCGTTTCCCATTGATCCGAGGCACTTCGGATATTTCCGGGATTTTGTCGCACGGGTTTGGGAGCAATCGTGTGTTTGCGGAGATTTTACCGCACGGTTTGACGTTTGTCAATTCTGACGGTCGTGTCAGTGAATTGTTTTAAAATATGTGCTCAAAAACTAACGGTCGTATGTGGCACGTTTAGTCTATTTTTTAAGTCAAATGTTGCATAATATACTATTTCGCCCAGCCAAGCGCACGGGTCGCTTGAAATTAGAACACAAACAAAACTGATATGAATATCTAAGTTTATCTATCGGAATTTATGGTCGCTTATCAGACTGTAAGAGATCTTTTTTCTATTATCTATATATCTATCGGATATACATAAATAAACAGAGTTGAGTGAGAAGCTGTTACTTGGACACTGACAAAGTCTAATTTTATTAAACTCCATCATGAAAATAGTTTGACAAATGCAGTGTTATCGAGCAACCCTATACAGCGGCAACTTTCAACTGGAATTTTTAATAAGATACGCATACTTTATTAGAGATTCTTTGCAAGTATCTATAACTGTGTAAGGCAAGTTTAATATTTACTTTCGCAAGTGCGCCAAACATCTTTTTTTTTTATTAGAAAATGCATATATGTAAAAGCTGTACAGGGTAACGTATTATGTATTTCTTTCTAAGTTTAATAGTAATTTTTACAAATTCCCATTCAGGAATGTGATCTGCATATGGAGTATTGCTTTTTCTCTTTTTTTTCTAAAACTTGTAACGTTTTTTTTTTCAGGTAAAACTGCAGCTTAGTTTTGACCACTGGTTGTCCTCGTCGTGGCAAAAATGTAAGTATCGTTTCTTGGCCGCGTTTAAAACAATCAAACCGTTCCGCCTTACAAGAAACTTTACCCCGTCAACCGAAGCCGTTGGGCTTCCGTTGAATATATATATGCGTGCATGTGTTTTACAAGCACGCGGTAATGTGCACTCTGCCGTCGGCCATTTTCTTTCGCATATTTTTTTCTAAATTACAAAAGAGAGGCCATAAAACTCCTTGCACATAATTTTCCTTTTGTTCGGTCGTCCCGGTTAACACCGCGTCTCTGATCTGTCGAACGACATACGCACTTGGCTGTTGCGGTGCGAAACGTGTCGGTGGGGTTCTTTCTGTACGCGCGAACAGGGACGGACTCGATTGCGTGGGTGGGATTATGTTTTTCTTATTGTGCAGTAAAGCAAGCAGGACAAATTTCCACCCTATTTGACATTCGTAGATTATGAAAAAGCATTCGACACAGTGGAACAGAGCGCGCTACTGACAGCCCTGCGGAATTGCAGGATTGACTGTAGATACATTAGCCTAATACAATGTACCATGGATCCAATCAGTCTGTAGCTACATACTATCTCTACCAGAACGAATACACAAAACCAGTAAATAGAGAAGTAGGTGTTAAACATGGCGACATTCTGTGGCCTAAGTTCTCGTGCTAGAAGATATATTCAAAAAACTGAACTGGTCGAACAAAGGCCTAAAGATCAATAGCAAACGCCTAAATAAGAAATGCTAACAGAGTTGCACACCGGGTCCGGCAAGCTTGATTTGAAGATGAACATTGAAAAAAGCAAGGTAATGTACACGGAAGTAACTGTCACAAAGATAGACAACACGAAAATAGATAGTCACCGAATATATTATATTCCTGAGCCAAAAAATCGTCCTTAATTGAGATATTCAAATAGAAGAAATAAAAAGAAGGCAAACACTAGCCTGGGCAGCGTTCGGAAAACTAAGGTATTTACTGAAGAACGGACAAATTCAACTACATCTAAGTACAAAGGTTTTTGATGCATGCATCTTGTCAATATACGCAGCACAAACATGGACCATCTGAAAGACGAACATGAAGATGTTAATATCTCTTAAAAATAATAGAACAAATACAGGGATAAGACAAAGAAGACTGAAATGGGAATACGCAGGGCATGTTGCCAGGGAAGGAACTAACAAATGGCAAAAATCAGTCCTGAGATGGATGATTTTGGATATTTGGATAAAAACAGCCGATAGCAGAAGAAGATGGAAGAAAGAAGTTTGTAGAGGCGTATGTTCAAAAGTGGACTAAAAAAGAAGAAGTAACGTAGTAAAGCAAATTACGGAGGGCGAAGAAATATCAAACTAGATAACAATTGATAAGAAGAAGAGTAAAACCAGTTTGCGTGCTCTTCTATATTTTTTACATTTTACTTAGGGAAAATTATGCAAGGAGCTCTATGTGAAGAAACAACAGCCATTTGGGTAAACCGTGAACTCATTAATAATATCCGTTTTGCCTACTATACTTTGATGATTTCTGATAGTAGCAAAGAACCACAAAGAATGATAGACAAAATCTTCAATATGAGGAAAGCTACACTTGATATTAAGAACACAAAATTCGTGAATATCAGCAAAACAAATGTCTGGCGAAGGCTGAATGTTCGCAATAAGCACAAGAGTTAGAGAGTTCAAATAGAAACCGGAAAACACTCTCGTGAAATAAGATCCAGAATAAGTCAAGTTAAAGTTGCTGTATTTTCAAATATGTAGTTTATAGATATAACCGTTAAGACAATCCTTCTCTACGGAATGGAGTCATGGACAAAGAGTAACAAATGGTTTATGTTAAATCAAATGGAAAAAGAAACAAGCTTGCTTGCCTAGGTCACGTTATGCATACCGGAATGAATACAAGGCAAAAGAAATGCTAGAAGAAGACGCACTTCATGACTGGAGAACTTAAGAGAGTTGTAAACCAATAGAATGTAACAAGCAGCTCATCAAAACCAAGAATCGGCATGATTATATAGCCAACGTTCTAAGAGGAGACGGCATATACAGAAGATGAAAAGAAAATAGCAATGTAAATACCTTTCCTTAGTATGAAATAGTGACGTCATGTGATATGTGATATAATTCATCAACATTTTTCTGTCAGCTTTAAAATAATTAAAAAGTATTAGAGAATAAAATAATGTTCAATTTTCAATTTCAATTTTTCCAGTCGCCTAGAATTTGCGAAGGATCATCCAGTCACTTATTTCTGTTGCGTCTGAAAGCAGCCAGAAACGTTTATTTAGCACTTACACTTCACTTCAACTATGACAACGATACGTCAAATAGTTTCAATATACGGAGCATAAATATTAACATTAAAAATTTTTTTTACGTTTTTGCTCAGGACATACAAAATGGTTTTACACTAAAAATAAACTCAACAAACAAGGTATGCTTTCTTTGAAATTTTTGACAAAATAAAATGTTTCTAATAAAATCAATAATTTTACCCTTTTCTAACATGTATTTTGTCATTTTTTTCAAACTTTATAATCTATTAGTGTATACTTATGTCATTGGAAACTTTAGTTAGTTCTTTCAGATATCTGCGAAATTATTCTATTTATATGCAGTGTGTACGATTTAAATGACATAATGAAAATTTCGTGCTACTGAAAATAAGGTATTGGGAGTTTTTCGCATTAAACTAATACACCTTGTTATCCTTGGATGTACCTGGCAAAATTTGATTTAAATGACTTGTTTGCCAACAATTTTTGTAGAAATTTATTTGTTAAATTTAAACAAAGTTTAGGCCCAAAACAAAAACACAATATCGTACAAGGTATTTTGTTTAAAATTTCAAAGTTATTATTACATTTAATGTGGCAACCAAAATTTGATAACAATATCTTTCTGGAATACCGTGCAATATTATAGACTGTAGTTACAGACAACCCTCTGTTGCAGGGATTCCGACCCTGTCTTCTTCGTTTCCCTCGCATGCACGTATACCATACACACACGTGGTTTGCTTGGTCTTATTATTTTCGCACCTCCGCGACGACATTCAATGGTCCCCGATTCCGTGCATGCTCCGACGGCCATCGCCAACAAGAGAATTATGAAAAAATTTAAAATATTTTCGGTGGGAATCGACTTCTGAGTTTATGAACTAAGGGATTCGGATTCGATGACGGGGACGTAATTGAAAAAAGCGTGCCACGCCGACAATAGGCTGATGTTATTCATCGTTGATGGGATAACGTAGCCTACCATATTAATATGAATTTGACTTCAACGCGATTGCTGATACAGGTTCCTTTAATTGCTATTGATACACTGTGCGTACTGAGTAAAATTTTGGTAGGAAATAACACGAATAATTGACAATAAACATTGTTTGTGGCATTTTTCTTAAACATATATAGGCAGGTTATGGTATTATAAAGTATCTTCTGCAGATTTACTTGAGGTTTCCACCACATTTCTCCAAATATGCTGCTGATTATTTAAAAATAATGTCTAGTATTGGTGTATGACTTAAATCGCTGAAATATGTTTAAAAATTTTGGTGGATAAATTAAAATCTGACACAAGAGAAATCCATAAAATAAGTTGTTTAAAAACTGGATAGAAAGCCTAGAAGCGGTCGTAGGAAGGTGAAAATTGAAGCAAAAATAGTTCACGAAGTTTGATTGGATATTCGTTAAAATAAACTTCCACCTACTAACGGAATAAAACTTGTAGATAATCACCAGCTCGTTAGTGTTCTTCGTATCTTCGTTCTTCGATTTGAGTGATACATATATTTAATAGTGCAAAATTCATTTATATAATTATTTAAATAGTTTTTCTGTATCAAATATTCGAATATCAAATTACTGGCCAGAAATTTCGAATCATCAACACATACATTTATCAAAAGTCGACATTTTTAGTTACATTCTACATATGTCGATATCAACAAAGTTTCTTTTTTAATATAGGTTTTTGCATCTTTGTTTGTGTAGTTCAATATTTTGCAATTAAAACCAAGTAATAGTCATATTTTCTCGTTGGAAACATTTGTCTTTTCGAAAGTAAAGTAAGACATTTAAAGCCTCCTATGTACATCAGAGACGCCGAGTCCTTGTATGATTTTATAGAAGGGAAACGAACAGCCCATTCATCGACATGTGTTACGCTCCTCCCCATATAAACATGGTCGACCAACAAAATATAAAAGTGATATTGGAGTTTCTAAGGCCTCTTTTTAATTACGGAGGGTGACGAATAGTATGGCGGCGCATGAATTTGCTTCCTCGTTAGTGGCAATGCGTATAATTATAATGTAAAAATTTGCCTTCAAACGCATTTGCCTCCAGTCGCATTTTTGAAACACTTAAAAAATATTTTTCTGCTGCCACTTTAGTATTAATTTTAAAGTCTGTGTTAAAACCTATTGGGATTACTTATGTATTATTACTTTAACAAAAAAGAGATGCGCACTTTCTTGCAATTTATCCAAGGAACAGCGTTGCGTATTCTACCTTACCAAAACTTTATATCGGTATATTTTACAAAAAATAAATAGAACCTTTAAACGAACGGAAAATCGATTTAGACTTTGACTTTTTTTATTTGGTTATTAATGACATTTTATTATTATGAAGTATTTTGAACAAAATTAAAGCACCGGTTACGGTTTTTTATTTGTATTCTTGTCTATTCTTAATGGCATTAGAGACAAAATAAGTTTTCGTCCTTGTTTAGTAACTTTGTATCTACAAATTTATGTATTTTTTGTTTTCGCCTCTCTTTTCGCTATGTAAAATATTTTAACAAAGTATAGGAAAAATAGTTTTGGTTTCTTTTCATGTAACATTCTTCATTATTAAAATTTGGATAATATGCATTCATGTATTTGTTAATGTCGTTTTAGTTTGCTTAACGTTAAAATAGAAATGAACTATAATTCATAAAATCTGCAGTTTGGTCGAGAAAGTATTTTATTTAAAGGTGAAAAATATATCCCTAAAATCTTGA